GATTATTTATTTATTTATTTATTTATTTATTTATTTATTTATTTATACATCATATTTATGTGGCCGCCCATCTGGCACAAGCAACTCTGGGTGGCTTACAACGTTATTTATGTATTAACAATGACTAATTTCTCTACAATTACTAATCTAATTGTAGATTAGTCATTATGCTAATACTAATTACGGAACCCTTCTGATTGAGGAGTTACAGTGCTGCTGCTCTGGTTCTCCTCCTAACTGCTGTCAAACTGCTGTCCAGGTGCCTGGAAGCTGCTTGGGTCTGTAAGGGGAGGAACAGGGAGAAACTCAGTTCCAGCAAGACAGAATGGCACTGGGTTTGAAGGTCTGCTGATTCCAAAGAGATACCATCTTTAGTTCTGAATGTGGTTCCATTCCCCAAAATAGAACTGGTTTGCAATTTGGGGGCCCTGTTGGATTCCCAGGTCCTGCTTGAGAAGCGTCTTGTATATGGGGCCAAAAGGGTCATAGCTCTTCTTCTGCACCTGGAACAAGAAGCTTTACAGGCTGTCAGTCATGCCTTCATCACCTCTTGACTAGAGTACTGCAGTGTACTCTACATGGGACTGCCCATGAAGAGCATTTGGAAGCTACAGCTAGCCCAGAAAGCAATGGCTTGAGTAGTTATGGGCATGCCTCAGTATGCTCGTGTAACACCTATACTTTGAGAGCTGCCTTGTGGGTGCAAGTCAAGGTACTAATTGTCACCTTTAAATCCCTTCATGGTTCTTGGATATGTGCAAGACTAGATACCTCAAGACCTGGACATCTTCAGGACTACCTTCTGATAATATTTGCCCACCTAGTAAGATCTAGTAGGGCAGACCCTTTATGTGTCCCCTCGATCACAGAATGCCACTGGTATGGATCACAGAAATATGCCTTTTCACTCACTGCTTGCCTTCTCTGGAACAGTATCACCCAGACATTCAGGCAGGCCCTTTCTTCCTGATTTTCACAAAATCTGTGAAGACTTGACCATTTCATCAAGTCTGGGGGCAGGACAAGGCTGCTGTGACCATCTCTTTGGACAAGTAATTATTTTTAATGGTGTTTTTTAGAATATTTGATTCCCACTGTATATGGTGGTTTTATAATATATGGTCTTGATTTTGATTTTTGATTATTATGTATTTATTTTAACCCAAATTACAGATTTGAGGAGTTGTAAGCTCCTCAGAGTTGATTGATTGGAGCGAGTTGTAAATAAATAAGTAAATAAACTAGTGATGCCAAAATAGCAATACAGTGGAACCTCAAGTTACGAATTTAATCCGTTCTGTGACTCTGGTTGCAACTCGAATTGGTCGCAACATGAGGCAAATT